CACATGACATTTTTGAGAATTTCCAAAATGCTATAATAGAAAAAGCAATGCATTCAACTCTTTCTTGACGGGAATCATGGGGAGCAGGTGCTCGTGACTTGTGTTTTGTCTCACAGCCCACACTGGAATGCTAAGACAGCAACTGACACAGCTTCCAAGCCTCGGCTCATCGTCCTGTCAGTTTCTAGAGCTCCAAATTTGCTTATGACTATGAAACTACACCTTTTTGCTCAGATTTTCTATTACTAAATAAAAAGATCTGGGTCACACACACACACACACACACACACTCCAATTCCCAAAGTGGTTCTGAGTTTAGCTACAGAGATTTTTACGTGTCTACTGGTCCACAGGATCTATGAAATCTAACAGGGCTGATGACTAAACGGACCCTAACAATGTTGCCCACTGACAGAACGCTGTAAGAAATGGCACACTGACAGTGAATGGAAGAGTGGAGCTCTGCTTTCCACATTTCCTCAAGGTTGAAAAACTCTATCCAATGATTCAGTCGTACTCTGGAGCTTCTTAGAAATCGAATACTTCAACTAATCCCAATTTTCATGGACTTTTGCCAATTATTTTCTGAAAAGAGAGAGGTAACAATGTGATTCACAAGCAGGAAATTAATTCCTTCATCATAATTTCACGTTATACTAAAAAGGCAAACACTGTCTAAACCCTGGGACACGGCCTTGCTCAACTACAGGAAACTAGCCCCTGCCGAGCTTCCAGTGCTATGGTTTTCAGGGCCAGTATTCCTACAGATGTGTGGTACTCTCCTCCCCTGACTCGACCAGTAACTCCTGGCACCATCTTCCCATACAGGCCCGTTTGCTCAGCAGGCGACGCTCGTGAGCCCCTGAAAAGAGGGCAGATGTGGTGTAAGGGAGGCATAAAGCCTGCTGCTCCCACCCAGAAGACACCCAGGAGTGCCGAAAGCCAGTGGGCAGCTGGGGACCGCTGGCAGGGGATGAGGGACAGCCACAGGATGTCAGGCCAGGGCTGAGCACGGAAGGAGCAAACGCAGCTCCACACAAGCTTGGCACGGCCTTCTCTGTTGAATGAAATGCTCTGAATGACTATAAAAGAAATGGGGTGACCACAGAAATTCCAATATAGCTGCATTTAGGAAAAAGGAAATGATCCCTTCATGCCAGTCCACAGAAGACACCATCCAATCCACATGTGCCCAGCACCATCAGTTACTGATGCGGCCAGAAGAGCATGTGGATGGGCAGCGGTCAAACGCAGGCAGCAGAGCCAAGACCAGCACCTCTGCGAAGGCGCGTGGGCACACGGGTCTGCATGCTGTGCCTGGGAATCGCTGGAGAGAAGGGCACTCAGAGAGGTCTTGGAAACAAAAGGTATTACGGGTTTGATGGCAAAAGCCTGCCAGGCGGGAAGACTGCACGGTGGCGTGCACGTGCGCCGGGTCACACGAGGGACAGAGGTTCTCACAAAAGGCTCCAGGAAACTCCAAAGCTCCAGTGACGGTGACTGCGCGGTGAGAGGACCGTGTGCTGACTACGATGCACAGCCACGCCGTCACAGTGGCATCACAGACCCTTTCAGAGACAGGAAGGCGGCGTGAGTGTGCAGAAAGCCAACCCGTGACAGGCGGAGACGGAGGGGGATGAATGGCCAGTGTCCCAGCTTCCCATGTTCAAAAAATCACTTTGATTGCTTTGGCTTTTCACCATCCTTTAGGTTCTTACGTGGCTAATGACCTGTCATAATTACTAAATTGATTCATTTTCGTTGAGTAAGATAGTATTTTGACTGAACAACAAAAAGAAAATTGCCTATTTAACTAAAGCTTCAAAAAAGTAAGCTTGTTTTAAAGGTCTAGCAGTGGCTTACACCGTGTCCAATACCAGAAATCTGCTGGTGCCGTTAGGGTCTCTTCTTCCTGAGGTCACTGTGTCAGGGCATGCTCACATCTGTCCCCTGGACAAGCTCAGCTGAGCCCACTGAGAGCCACCACCTCACACAGTGTGCAAAAAACTTAAAACACTGGTGAATGCGGACCTCACACCCTCACATTCACCCTAGTTCATCAAATTTTAGCCTTTGCCTCAAGTCCTCAAAGTCAGTCAAAAGGAGAGATTTGTAAGTAAGATGCAATGGTTTAAAAACCTCTTAGACTTTCAAAAATGGAGAAATCTCCAGCCACAGCCCAGAATTTCTTTTTTTCTTTTTTTTTTTAGACTGAGTCTCACTCTGTCTGATGCCTACAGCCATCATCCCTTACTCCTCGGCCCCTGACCTTTGACCTGCCAGCACTCACTCCTCAGCCCCTGGCACCTGCTGCTCGGCTCCGTGTCTCTACACGGCCGATGATGTCTGTAGGCATCAGATACGGGAAGCACTTTCCTGGGGAAGGAAAGATTTACACAAAAGCAAGTGGTTTTTAAACTTGTCTGTATATCACGTAGACATGAGAAGTGGTTTCAGGACATGAGACCTAGTCCCATGATCTGGAAGCTTGTGCCATGTCAGGACACGGTCACAGCCAACTTTCATGGAAAAAAGATGAATGACATTACTGGTTGTTCCTGAGCCATAAGGTGGTAGAATTCTTCTGCTTCTAGGAGCCTACTCCTGCTTTTAGGCAATTTGAAAGTGAAAGTCGCTTGCCACCCTTGGTCAGCTCTGCAGACAGCACAGCTCCTCCTCAACTATCAACACATTTATTTACTCTGTTCTGTCTTCTTTGGGTTACAAATTAGTTCTAATTATTACTCATAAGGCAATTTTCCAAACATTCTAAACTCATGGTTGCACATTCCGACTTCTAAGCTAATGGCGATGCCCTTCCCCACGCTGCAGGCGCTGTACTGTGCACTCTCAGGCGCACTCACGCCAGCGCTGCTGCTTCGTCACGGCGGCTGCTGTCTCTGTTCTCACACTTCACAGCATGGGCTTGGTCTCTGCTGCAAGACATACCGTCACCAGAGAAAGCGGCTCTCTCATGCCTCATAACCCTTCTTCCCGCCCTCTTTGCCAAATGTGTCCCTGTCTGTCTAGCCAACCTGCTGGTCAGCAACAGTGGGCTTTTAGGCTCATATTGCCACTGTCTGTGGAATTAGAATTTCGTAGCTTTCATACCCATACATCCAGAAATGGAACTCGTATCCTGACACGTTCTAAGATAGGCATTTTAGTTTTTTAACCTATGAATTTACCTTGTCTTTGTCATGAATCTGAATTTTCTACTCATTTAATAGACATAGAACCTACACTCAAATAGCTTTATACAATTCTCCCATTAAAACTGCACAATTTAATTCATTTTAGCATATTCACAGAATTGTGTAACCAACACAATAAATCTATTTTAAAACACTTTCATTCCCTTAAAAAAAACCTTCTACCTGCTAAGGATGACTCCCCACCCCTGACCTTCTCCCTGCTAGCCCTCACTCCTCGGCCCCTGACCTCTGACCTGCTGGCACTCACTCCTCAGCCCCTGACCTCTGACCTGCTGGCACTCACTCCTCAGCCCCTGACCTCTGACCTGCTGGCACTCACTCCTCAGCCCCTGGCACCTGCTGCTCTGCTCTCTGTCTCCACACGAATGTCTGCTCTGGACGTATCATGGAAATGGAATCACACATGCATGCACGTTTCCTTCTGCAGCTGCCTTCTTCCACTGAGCACAAGGTTTCAAAAGTGCTTTGACGCTGTCACAGACACGGCTCCTTCCTGCCGTCTGTGACTGGATGATGCTCCGTGTGGATGGACAGACATTTTATTGATTGATTGACAGCTGATAGACATTTGCCTTGCCTCTACTTCCCGGCTCTAACATTGCTGTGAACATTACCATATGGGTCTTTGTTCTCACGTCTCTTGGGTATACTCCAAGGAGCGGAACTGCGGGGCCTACGGTAAGTCCGTGTTACTCCGAGAAGCGGAACTGCGGGGCGTACCGTAAGTCCGTGTTTGTTTCAGGAGATGTCGAGACTGTTTTCTAAAGTGGCTGCACCCGTTGCAATTCTACCACAGTGCATGCAGGTTCCAATTCCTCTGCATCCTCTCCAGCACTTGCTATGGTCTTTTGATTCCTGCTATCCTGGTGGGTGTGAAGTTGCATCTTGTCTCTGGGCTGAGATTCTATTCTGATAGGGGGAAGATGGCGCTCTTCTGTAATAAACTTATCAATCAGAACCACCAGACTCCTCTCTTTAAAATATTAGGTCTGTTTTTTTTTCTTTTTCTTTTCACTGAAGGTCCTTTCCTGACCCCTGCCCAAATGTTTCTGTTTCTGACACAGTTTTACAAAGTATTTGACGACACTAGCTTGCTTATACTGCTTCCATGGCTCGCTTGATTACGGAACTGCCTCAAGAACCTTGAAGGGACAAAGTTTATATGAAGGCTGTATATAAAACATACTAAGACAGTAATTAAACAAATTTAATGAATTTTACTGATCTAAAAATCAAAGAATGATGTAAAGTTAGAAATAACTAATTTACCACGTTTAAGATCTTACCATTTCTGTAGGTTTTGGAAATTATTTACATCCCAATTTTCTTTGGAAATAGATGCACCGTATCGCAAGTCGAGCAAGATCTGTGGAAACTTAGTATGGAAACCTGATGACTCAATTGGGACATGGGAAAAACTGGATAACGTAGCCAGAATAAGAGTCCCAAATTCCAAAAGCTTTGTAAAGTGGGGCTTTGACACAAGTTAGTTTATGTAATCAGTAAACGTGGCCACTATTTCTCATGCTGTTCCCTGTGAGCAGCCCTGGGTGTTCTGAGACGTGCAGGGACGTGGCGGCTGCACATCAGCATCTGCAAGGCCCAGGGGACGCCAGAGGCTGCGTGCTGGGAAGAGTCGGGCAGTTCTCAAGCTACAGCTGAAACACACAGTGAAGCTACGGTAAAGTGCGCCTCTACATCCCCCACCCCAGGAAGAACGAATCCTCATGACTCTGGAGCCCAAATGGAACGCACAAGCTCTCACGGTTTTGCGCTTTGACTGACCTCATCGGGGCTGGAAGCCTGGTAGGTGCGGTTCTCGTCACTGAAGTCTTGGTCAGCCTCTGCAAATTCCGTCTCCCCAGAAACGCCAGCTCGAGACTCATACACAGGGGTCACGTTGTGGCACAGCACTATGGCTTTCACGGCTTCATGGATTCGACTACTGACACTTTTCCTGACTTTGGGAGCTGAAGACTGGGCTTTTCTTGGTGGAGTTGAACCGGCATTGTTTCCACCAGCTTGAGAATGCATCTTTAGAAGAGGAAACATCACATAATTGAATATAGAGCAAAGAGAACTATCTAGTTAACATGAAATTATTCGCATATATGATTTTTATAAGCAAAGTAGCTACAAATAAGTAGCTTGATTTGATTCTGATTATCCCCTATACATCACTGATTATTTTTTAACCCTAGTACTGTGAAGTGCTTTGATACATCCAGATTGTCAAAATATACCAAAATATTCACTATAAAAATATTACTTAAAAATCTGACAATGTATTTTTACTACATTCACTTCAATGGCATTGATTTGCTATGTCCTTAACTCCTATTTATTCTTGACTTCCAAAGCAGAGTGAAAGAACAAAGCGAAATGATGCACTCTCCACTGCAATGGTACACTCAGCACTGCAATGGTACACTCTCCACTGCAATGGTACACTCAGCACTGCAATGGTACACTCAGCACTGCAATGGTACACTCTCCACTGCAATGGTACACTCAGCACTGCAATGGTACACTCAGCACTGCAATGGTACACTCAGCACTGCAATGGTACACTCAGCACTGCAATGGTACACTCAGCACTGCTTCCAGCTTTCTTTCAACAATGTTCTACATAAAATGGTATAAAGCTAAAAGCCGGACAAAATTTTTAAGAATCTTCCCTTAATAGCATAAATTATTCCTGATTTTCAGTAGTCTCCAAACTTAGACAGTCTAGTTTTATAGATAATAACAACCAAATACAATCCTAAGTCGCATTCAGAGGAAAATGACCCCATGTCATATCTGAGAACCCTGTTCTCCTTAAGCAACTCATGTGTATGCTCGGCTCTCCTCACTCAGCCGTGTTTGAGAGATTTCAACGGCACCACTGAAGCAATGACCTTTTATTATTCACCTCCTACGTGGTGGAGGGTGTCACAGGACACTCTCCTTGACCCCAACAGGACTGTTAAATGTTTCTTCACTTAACTTCGGAGTAACTCATGACAATCCTTGGAAACCGAGGCTTTTGCGTTTGGACTGGGTGCACAGATCCAGTGAACTGTGAATCTCCTGCCCGTCAAATGACAGTGCTGCCTAATGAAGGGTTTAACTTTCTGCTTAGCTGGTGATGCCTTTCAGTGAGCACCCAGCCCATCTGCGCCTGCTCATGCTGCTGCAAGACAGCAAACTCAGCGGGCTCCTCCTTCCAAACTATGTGATGTTTACTGATGCTTGTACAATTTAATTTCACATAAATTCCATGAAAGATCATGCTCTTGATCACCAAATGCCTCCAGTGGGGAAACAGAATCAGGTTATAAAAGATCTGTGCTGCAGGGCAGTGGACCTACTAGATTCCCATCATCTTAGCAATAACCCAGAATACCAACAGAGAATCACATCAATTTCACAGAAGAGGTGCTGTCTGTTCAGCTCACAGCAGCTTTCAGTGAAAATGATTTTTTAAAGTACTCTTAGGTAGAAGCACAATAAATATTTATTGTGTTTATATAATGATGCTTCATCTTTTCTGTTTTTCATGTTTTTCCCTAATAACGTTAATGACTTATTTGAAGCTATTAAACTCACATTCATATTTTTTTTTTAAAAAGCAGATCTCATCTGGTACTATTTCAGTGTAGAAGCAGATTCCTGGGAGAAACTGTATCCCTTCTCCTTTTAAGATTTTCCTTCTATTAATAAATATCCTAGGTTACAAATATTCTGCATCTAAATGTGTGTCTGTTTGCTTACGTGTATGGATAAACATTCCACATGCTTAACAGACACACATATGGGACTTCTTCCATTTGACAGCACACCAACAGTGACTGTTAGCAAGGACAGAAGAAAGCAAAGGTTTCCTAAAGACTGAATACAATGCCGGCCACTGAATGCTACTCTGGAGTTGTCAAGAGTAGAAACGCTGCAAAGTGGGGTGTCATTTAGTCTAGTCTCTGTGAAAATCAAGTTTGAAACAAATTACTGTAAATATAAAAAGCCTCCTGGACTCCACTCCTGATTCGTATATTCGAACAGATGACTGAAGTAGCAGGATGATAATTTCATCAAGAAGTGTGCTAATCTCCAGATGGGAACACATGAGGCTCGGCTGGACGCACGGCAAGGGGTGTGTGTGGAAGCAGACCCCCCACAGGAGGAACCCACTTGCCTGTGAGTAGGAGTCCCTGACGTGGCTCTGGATCTCATCCATGGTGTCCACTCCATAGGACACAGGTGCCCAGGTGGAGCCGCTTAAATACCATCTCATTCTGGGTGAGGGTTCCTAGGATAAAGGGGACAACAGCAAACACGTTAATGCAGGAGGCCCACGGGAAGGCCCAGCTTTCCTACGGCCATGCTGCACACCCACGGGCAATGCTCTTCCTCACTATGCTGAAGCCACTGGGACATCCCATTCTGTAATGCAAAGTAGCGTTAAGATTACTTGCTGCTATTTTCATTTTAATAGGAAGAACAAGGTATTTTCTTCCTAGCAAGCATGTCAAGGTGCCTTTTTAACATTTTTGGTGTTTTGGTTTTTTGTGGAGCCTAGGTCTCACTTTGTTTCCCAGGCTGGAGTGCAGTGGCGTTAACACAGCTCACTGCAGCCTCCACGTCCCAGGCTCAAGTGATCCTCCTCCCTCAGCCTCCCAAGTGGCTGGGACTACAGGACACAATAGCACACCTAGCTGATTTTCTGGTTTCTGCAGAGGCATGGTCTGCTTACATTACCCAGCCTGGGCTCAAGCAATCCTTCTCTCTTAGTCTCCTAAAGTGCTGGGATTAGAGGTGTGAGCCACTGTGCACCCAGCCCCTAATAATGTGTAATAATGGGAAGGGCTCTAGTTACATAAGGAAAGTCCAGTGGTTGCCTTTCAGCTCAGATCTGTTATTGGGAGCAAATACAACTTCTGCCTGTTCAGAAAGAGTCAGGCATAAAACTAGAAAACTGAGTAACCACCTTTACATTGCCTGAGAAAGACATCAACTAGCCCCAATTAGGGTGTCCATCAATTTTTTTAAAAAACTTATTTCAAAAAGTTAGGTGTTTTTAGCTGAACAGAAACACTATTCCAGATGTGTGTAACCCTTAGTATGTATGTGCATCCCTTGGAATGACAGACAGGAGGTTTGTGAAGGGGAGGATGGCTTTTCTTTAGCTGAGTTTCCAAACACTGGGCTATCTGAATGTGCTTCCTCAACGCCTGCTCCTCACTGGACTGAGCACGAAGTACCCCAGTGCTTCCTCAGGAGGACTGCCAAAACGTAGGGCCATGGATTCAGTGACAAAGATATCCCACTGAACCTAAAACACACGTGACATACGCTCACAGTTTTACTGATTTGGTCACACAGAAGCAAAGTAGCACAGGGAAGCTTGAATGCCCTCTGGATAGGTACGCGATGTGCTGCAATGAGGGTGCCTTCGCCTTGTCCCGGCGGGGAGGAGGGGGGTTCTGCACTTATTCCACAGCACATCCAAGAAAGGTTATCCATGGATACTCATGACCTTATCAATCTGAGTATGAACAATGACATAGCCAATGGGTTGCAAGAAAAGTGGAACTTTACACATGGTTGCAAAACACCCATAAAAATATGAACTCATGTTTATGTTCCATGGCACACGTGGTCCAGGAATACAACCCAGACTGTTTCATGTCTATGGCGCCTGCTGAGTGCGTGAGGATTAGAGCACAGAGTTAATCCCAAGACATCAGTGAAGGTCAGAACACACACAATAAGCCTTCCACCAGGACATAATGCTTACTTTAAAACAGAAGGAAAACATAGCTTACAATTACTATTTTAGAGAGTGTTTCAATAAATGCTCTTTAAAAAGTAGATATAATAAAGTTTTAGAAATTCCAAACAGCAGCTATCTACCTGAGATGCTTGTCAGTTTTATAGATTTTGCCTTCCAGTGTTTTATGAAACACCTTTAAATGGCTGTGTTCTGTATACCTTGAAAAAAATGTCTCCAAGTTTCAGAAATCTAAGTAAAAACAAAATCATCAGAACATGAGAAGTAATTTAAACCTTTTTGTTTTGTTACGCCACCCTTGTTAAATAAGCAGAATTAACTTAAAATACTAGGCCATATTAAATAGTGCAATTAGCAACGATTCAGTCTCTAAATAATAAAATGAAGTTCTACAAGTGCTTTATATATATTTTTTGCTTTTGTTTTTTTGTGTGTGTGTGTGTTTTTTTGACATGGAGTCTTGCTCTGTGGCCCAGGCTGGAATGCAGTGGCATGATCTCAGCTCACTTCAAACTCCGCCTCCTGAGTTCAAGGGATTCTCCTGCCTGAGCCTCCCGAGTAGCCGGGATTACAGACACGTGCCACCACACCTGGCTAATTGTTGCGTTTTTAGTACAGATGGGATTTCACCATGTTGGCCAGGCTGGTCTGGAACTCCTGACCTCAGGTGATCCACGTGCCTTGGCCTCCCAAAGTGCCAGGATGACAGCGTGACCCACCACACCGTGGGCCTATGAGTGCTTTAAACAGCAAAAATGTGAGATGAAAAATGATAGTTCTAACATTGCCAACAGTTAAAAGATAACGAAACTTTACATTAATTCATATTAGGATAGGTACAAAGTTCACCTCTATTATGTGTGCCCAAGTCAGCAGCTCTCTGAAAAATTATTTAACAAATACGCTAAATTAAAAATACATTACTTATCAGATTGAGGTAACTAAAGCATTTCCCTTAGACTTTTTTCTCTGACACAGACTGAGTGTGAAGCGTGATAATTTAGGGTAGGGAATGGCAAAGAGGCATAAATCCTATGCAGATTGTAAACGGGACTTTGATTAATGCCACTTCTTTTAACTCAACTTTTAAATTATGAACAATTTCATATGTAAAGTTAAAATAATATTACAATGAACACATGCATAGCTCCTACCAAGAATGAACAATTATTTCCTTAGGGTTTTAAATGGCTTTATGCAAGTACGCGAAGAACCGTAAATAAAGCAAGAGTATTTCATTTTCCACCTAATCCTCGCTGGGTGTGTCTGTCGGGCGGCTGTGACAGGCCTGGGTGTGGAGGCAGCTGTGAATGCAGAGGCTCCACTGGGGTGAGGTGCTGCTGTCCACACCCCCACAGTCCCTGGCTCAGGTCTCAGCGCCCTCACCGCAACCCACATGCAACCCACAGCCCAGCCTCGCCTCTCTCTCGGCAGCCTGCACCTCTCTGTCCCTCAACACCTGGTGAGACATCTGCAAAGGGACTGAATGGCCCCTCTGGCCTCTCCCCATGGTCACCTTAATTGAGAAGGGCAAGACCTCCCACTCAGCCTCCTCACTGTGCAAGCACTGCAGGGTGGCCCGGAGATGACGAGAGGGCACCCAGGTGACAGGCCTGACGCAGTCGGTCCTAAATGAACAGGAGCTGCCCTTCAGCAGCCACCACCCTTTCCTCACTTTCCGTATTCAACCACCTACCAAATGTTCCCAGTTCTCTCAATCCCACTCAGACACGGAGCGCACGCCTCCCGAAGCTCCTTCACTCTGCCCTCTCACCACGCATCCTGACTGCTGCCTCTTCCAGGAATCAGTGAGTAAGATGGTTGTAAACATAATTATGTGTCAATTCCACTTTGTTAGACCAATGTATTTCTGACAGTCGGGCAGTTGACGGAAACAGTCAAATGTTGGTTTGGGGTATCTACTGGTCACATTTTCCACCTTCCTGATAATAACACCATTTCAACATGTGCAATACACACTAGAAACCCCTCATTGTATGCTGGGCATCAACCTTGGCTGTGTGTGTCTGCGTAGTGTGTGCTCGCACGCACTGACGCACACACATACGCCTATAGCTGGACTAAAACAAAACATACAGAAAATGTCATTCCTGTATGTGAATCTGAGAGGTATGAAATGCGAGGAATTTAAATCCAGGAACGTACGTTCTTTTCACCCCTTCTATCTCTTTTAAAGGAAGTGTTACATCACCTCAAGGAGACAGTCTCCTGAAAGCCCTGTGCCCACTGCTCCTTTCTGGCAACATGGGCCTGGGCAGCTCTTTCATCTGAGCCCCCACTTCACTCCCTCTGTTGGTGCTGCTGAAACGAATCTGAGCCATATCATTTCAGCCATGGGCATGTCAGTATCATTTGTGAAAGAGAGACACTTTAAACAGAACCCCAATATTATCACACCAGAAAGCCAGAGTAATTCCTCCATGTCAAACAGAAGCCGGGGTTCTAATTTCCAGGGGTCTCGTGTGTCGTAACGTTTTACACTGCTTGTCCGCAGTATGGATCCGTGAAAGGTCTCCTGAGCCTCTTTTACTCTACAGCTTTTTCCTCCATCTCTTTCTTCCTTGAAATTGATTTCTAAAAGAACCTGGACTGGCGGTTTCCGTGTCCGCAATCTGCCCTTGGCCACTGGCCCTTTCTCCTGTGCCTGCGGGCCTTGTGCTTCCTGTGAGCCACAGCTGGACAAAGCTGGCGAGGCGAGGTTCCGTGTAGGCTGCTCCAGCGCAGGGAGTGCCTTTCCATCAGGAAGAGGGTGTCTGGTTGCCACCTCCTCTGATGTAAACAGCCACCCGCAATCGATTCCTAGACCCACAAATTCATCATGAGTTGAAAGTGGCATATATCTGAGGCACAGATCATTGACTCTGGGGCATCTTTTCCTGGAGAAGAAAACTCTGGCATTTCTAAATGCAATAAATCCACATGGACAACAGATGTTTTCCAAAAACAAAGTGACATCATTTGTAATCACTCCATTCACAGACTCTTTCTAGACAGTAAATCTGGGATTTTAAACCACTATTTTAATCCAGTGCTTTAGGTTAGAGGTCTTTTTTCAACTTGGTGGCAGCATTTCAAGTTCTGAGATTCCAGCTTCAGTCATGCTATTATACTCTGCTTCTTACTGCTGCCTGGGAAAACTGAGAGTAACTGCATGTACACAAAGACCCCGTGAAAACACTGGAGACCGGACAGCTGTCACAGAAACATATAAGGCGATGCTAAAATACTGAGTATATCTGTGCATTCATGCATTTAGTAGAAAATGATTTAAAAGATAACTGAAACTTAGGTTTGAACTAATTCTCCTTTTGAATTACGTTTATAAAGCTTTGTATCTCGCTGGGTATCCAAAAGTCTTATTGAGTTGCTTAACTGGAGCCAGGGAGAATGAAATGGAGAAATGCCTTAGCCCATTTTCTGTTGCCGTAAACAGACACCTGAAACTGGGCAACTAATTTAAAAAAGGAATTTATTTCTTGCAGCACAGAGTCCAGAGG